GGAGTCATTCTTCATTGCTTATTATAAAGGGTTATTTTTATAGTTTAGAAATGAAACAAGGATCACCAGTTATATTGATAGAAAAAGAATCTCAACCAAGGTAGAAAGGTCAAGAGAAATTAATTTTGAGAATAGCCTACCACACATAGAATAAATTAACCCTTGAATATGGTACAGATATCCTTGTATTGTTAAGGGCCTGATGATAGTTGTCTTAAAGTAGAAAAAACTAAGATAATTTTTAGCTCAACTCAATTTTATAGCTGAGGCAAGGCAAATTATTATTCACAAAAACTTCTATAATTAATGGTAGTTGGAACTATTCTTGTTGCTTTTTGCTGAATTTCAATGAAATAGAATTAATTGTGCAAACTGAAAACCACCAAAAGAAGAATCTACCATATCACATAGCCTATCTTTCATCTTCAAAGACCTGTGAATTCATCATTGAACAAATAGTTATCGAGTGCCTGCTGTGTTTATGGCACATCTTTGAAGAGTTTATAGTCTTGCTGTAGCAGAGAGTAAAACATCAAGCACATTGATAGTTAAAGTGTTTCACCTTGCAGACCTCTGGGGAGAGATTGCTATGGATTTAGAAGTTGTGCTCATCTCAGGCAAACAAGTACAGGAGTTGATGGCATATGGCAAAAAGTTTTTTTCTTCACGGAAGCTAGCAAAAGGAGACAGAAAGGGATACAAGGTGAGAGAGATGGTTTATCACTATCCTTTCCATACAAGATGTGTTTTTCAAATAACAAGTATATATTTAGGTTTGAGTCTATGTATATAGTAATTTGGTAAATGATGGGGAAGACATTTAGAAGAGTATTAACATGTTCTCTGTCCTTGAAGAATTTAATTCAAGGAACCAACCCTATTTAGGACAAAACTCATTTGAAATAAGGAGAGAACTCTATCTAGTAGTATCCCTTTCTTCTTTTTGCATAGATAAAATAGTCTTCTGAGGGATTTTTCAATATACAGGATTCTATACTATAATTATTCTATGTTTAAAAAAAAAAGCTTTGTTGTGAAAGATTTCAAATATTTACATAGGGGATAAAATAGTATAGTAAACCTTACCCACCCATACCCAGTCTCCAGATTCTACCAGTAGTATCATTGTGTCATACTTGTTTGGCTTATGTTTTTTCTTGTCTGTCTTTCTTACTTTCTTCCCTCTATAATACTTGCTTTCCTTCCTTCCTGTGTTCTAGCATTTTAACAGAAATATATGACATTGTGCATTTTTACACCACACAATTCTATTACAGTCTATCTACATTGTAATATACCTAAATAATGGCAATTTTCATTGTTTATAATTTATTTCTTATAAGTACTACTTCCTGGAATATCTTTATATGTCTATTTCTTTTTTAATATCTCTATGTATGCCTCTTTCCTCATACTTGGCATTCTCTTGGAATGGAATCTCCTGAAAATGAGATTACTGAACAAAGGATATCAGCCATTTATAAATTTCTCTATAATACCAGAATGACTTTGAGGAATCTTGTAATTCTTACTCCCATCAATAGTGTACCTCTGTATCCATATATCTGCTGATTAGGGTTTTGTCAGTATATGTTTGCCAGTCTCCCAGCATCATAGATTAAAGATGATTTTATATGCATTTAAAAATGACTAATGAGGCTGGGCATATTTGTTCTTATTGACCATTTGTATTTCTTTTGAGTTAAACTGATCTTTTACAAACATCATTTTTATTATTTTACTTCTTTGTTTAAAAATCATAGTATCATTATTTCTTACACTGATTTTCAAGACTCTTCAGAATTTTGCCCTAACCTGTTTTTCTAATTTAATTCTGTCCAGCAAGAGTCACTGTATTCAGTGAGGAATATTTACTCATTGATATAACTCATCCTATATTATTTTTCTTTGACTCATGTTAATAGTATCTTTATAACCCACTTGTAATAAAGTAGCCCAGATTCTTCAGCATTTATCACTTTCCTCTTACTTGAATTCCTACAGTATCTGTTGTTTCTGCACTAAATTTAGTAGCAAGTTATAGACTGTTTTGTTGTGTTATTTATCAAGCACCAACGATTTGCAAGGCCATGACTATATAGCTGTGAATGGAGTATGGTCTCTGTCCTTGTGAATTTGTGGTGTAATGATAATGCATCTATTTCTGCTTCTTTGCTTGTTAGTGAAATTGAACTTCTTTTCATCAGTATATATGAAGCACGTTTTCAGGTATGTAATTATATGTTCTTGAATTGACAGTGTAACTCAGTGGTAGAGTGCTTGCCTAGCATCCCAACGTCTTGAGTTCAATTTCCAGTACTCATCTAACCTCCCCAAATTATATGTTCCCAACTGGTCTATAGAATCATAGAGGGTGTGAACCTTTTTTTTTTTTTTTTTTTAACTTCTGAAATCCTTGAAACACTTAACTCAGTTCTGAACATGTAGGCATTACTAAATACATACATACTCTATTGGTGTAGTTAAAAAAAAAAAGAAGTTGAAGGCTTTTCTTACATACCAAACCTCAAATTATAGCTCTAGTCCTTATGAACTAAGTGTGTAAAGTTTGCAAGTTATTTAGCCATTCTAAGTCTATGTCTACATAAATTAAATAGCTGTTTCATAAGGTAGTCGTGCTTGTTAAATTAGATAATAGATGTAAAGAATTTTGCCTTATGCCTAGTGTATAGTAAGCACTCATAAACCTACCTATAATAATTGTTTAACCCCTCAAGCTGAAAACTACTTCAACACCTTTTATTTCCCTAATGCCTTTTATCTAAACAGTTACCAAGTTCTGTGTAGTTTTCTTCAATATTTTGTCAATTTAGTCTATTCTTTTAATCCTCATTATAATCCACAATAAGAAATACATTTTGTACTTCAGGTTACTGTTCTTTGTTCATTTGCACATAATCTGAAACAAAAGTTTTGTTGTTACAATATGTGATGTGTTCTACTTTTTTTTTCTGATCTGTGTCATTTAATAATAAAAGTAAATAAACTGGTTACAGCTGATTTCATGCTGGGCATAGTGGCATACTTCTGAGGCACTGTTTGTAATTCTTTTGTGAGGAGGCTGAGGAAAAAGGTTCCCAAGTTCAAGGCCAGCTTGAGCAACTTAGTAAAATCTGTCTCTAAAAAGCAAAATGAATGAATAAAAAGGGCTGGAGGTATAGATCAGTGGTAGAGTGCTTGCCTAGCATGTTCTGAGCTATGGGCCAATTCTCAGCACCACACAAAAAAAAAAAAAAAGAAAGAAAGAAAGCATGATTCTACAGCAAACAGTTTGAAACAGTGGTCGACATTTTTGGAATCTGAAAAATTTGGACTGACCAGGATAATATGCAAGGTGAAAATTTTCAGTGAAATAGAAAACAGATCAGAGACTGAGGCCTAAAATTTATTTAAATTGCAGTTTTTCTTTGTCCTCCAGTAGTTACATACAGTTAGCTTTTGCCCGTTCTCATTCAGGTTTTGCTGCAGAAGGGTAGGAGTGTTTACTTGTGCATATTCCAGAGCTAATAAAGACTGGAGGAGCTTCCCACATTACAAAGCAAGAATTTCGCAACCATTTCAAGTCTGTATTTTTTGGTAGGACAGAAATGAGATAGATACATGGATTAGAGAACTTTGAAGGAAAAAAGCTTTTTTATTAAAGGAAAATTTTAAAACATTTTTTAAAATAGGAAGAATAGTGTAATTATGACTTATTAATTAAATTCAAATAAAGTAATTATCAACATTATATCGATTCCAAGAGGACTTTTTTTTAAAAGAGAAAGAGAGAAAGAATTTTTCAATATTTATTTTTTTTTTAGTTTTCGTCGGACACAACATCTTTGTATGTGGTGCTAAGGATCGAACCCGTGCTGCACACATGGCAGGCGAGCGCGCTACCGCTTGAGCCACATCCCCAGCCCCAAGAGAGGAATTTTTAACAAAGAATTTTAAGACAAAAATACTTACCCTCCAATACAGATAGATTATCTGTTTTTCAGAAGAGATATATCAACCTTAAGATATCTTACTTCAGAACTTACAGCCTGTTTTATTTGATCCCTTCAAGAGGAATAAGTAATTGCATAACAAGGAAGGATCAGGAATAGTGTGGATATCTGTTGCTCTCTTTAGGGGATTTTTCTTGGTGGCCTCCGAGAATTCTAGACACCCATCTTACTTGAAGTATTTACCAGTCTTTTGCACCCACTGCATACCATCTGCCTTCCTCTTGTGACACGGATCTGTAACAGTGACTTGAGGAGATGAGAATCTCATTATTTTTATCCTCTGTTTAAACCTTTCTTGGTTCTTTCTTTCCTAGCTGTAGAATAAAATCCCAAACCATAGGTTTTTGTTCATGTTTGTGGCTCCCTCCCTCCTTTCCCGACTTCTACTATGTCTTTCCTTCCATGTGCACCTTCTTTTCCCTAGAATTTGCAGTTAATTTTAGGACTTATACTAATTTTTCAAGATCCAATTTAGATATTAACCTGTGGGAGCACTTTAGGTTTTCCTTTTCACCTTCAATTAGATAGTGATCTTTTCCAGAACAGGGGTTATATCTTACTCTTTTGTGTCTTCCAAACATTTCTTTGATGCCCACTCATGTGGTAGGTATCCAGTAATATTTTGTTAAATGAATGTCACTATATTTTAGAATCTAATTCTAGTATAGGTTCTCTCCAGATAGGATAAATTAATCAAAAGGTTTTCTTTATTTTGTTTTTGTATATTTTTAGTTTTTTCTCCTCTCCTTGGGGACTTTTGTTAAAATTTCTAAAGAGAACCTAAGTTCTATAGCATTATTCTTAGAAATATACTTTGGTAAACTAGCATAAAGTATCCATCCTCAATAATCCTATAATAAAGGTAAGTAAAATCTATTTTAGTTTACTTAATTTTTTTCTATTGAATAACGTGGTTTATTTTGTGTGTTGGATAGATTAGTGCTATGAAAATTAGAGTAGCCATGACTAATTTTTACTGTGTTTCAGCTCATGGAATGCTGTGTAAATGCCCTGGTGACATCATTTAAAGAGACTATCTTAGCGGAGTGCCAAGGCATGATCAAGCGAAATGAAACTGAAAGTAGGTAAAACATCACATAAAACTTTTCCGTTTTAAGAGTGTCTTTGAAGCAGGTCACTAAATAAATTGCTGTTAGATTATTCTTTTACACATAGGCATATTTGTTAGCATAACCTGAGCTTAAAGAAAATGGTAAAATATTTAAGACAAAGACTATTAAGGAGTTTGCATATTTCATTTGTAAGCATTTCATTTCTTTAGGTGTATGTGGTGAATTTCCCATTTTTTTCTCAAAAGTTGAACTCTGCATTTAAAGACCAATTTAAATTGTAAATTTACAGTATAGGATAGGACTACGTATTTGACTTTTTTTAATAAATATTTTATAGATGTTAATGGACCTTTATTTAATTAATTAATTTATATGTGGTGCTGAGAATCCAACCCAGTGCCTCACACACTCTAGGTGAGAGTTCTATCACTGCGCCATAACCCCAGCCCTGGTATTTGACTTTTTTGTGGAACCTTGTGGTAAATATTTTTAGAAAGTAATGAAATACTTCGTGTTTATAATTTTTATTCTTTTACCCCCCTCCAATTGAAAATTTTTTAAAGAAAGGTATTTTGGTAGGCAGCAAGTATTTAATAAAACAAAAAAAAATTGTTCATATCCTTTTTACCCTTAGAGAACCACTTTTAACATTTTGGTGTATTTTCTAGATTTTATTGTGTTTAACTGTAAGGTCCCCTTTAATCTTTAGTTGCATTTCAGTCAGGTGCTATGGCACATGCCTATAATCCCAGCTACTTGGGAGGCTGAGACAGGAGGATCTCAAATTTGAGATCAGATTTGGCAATTTAGTGAGAACCTTTCTCAAAAACTAAAAAGGCAGGTTGTAGCTCAGTGATAGAAAGCCCCTGAGTTCAATCCCCAATACTGGAGATGTGGGTAGGGAGAAAGCTACTCATTGGCACAAGTGAAATGTTTGAATTTTATATGCCAGTATAAGTAAAGTAGGTGTGATCCATGTTGAACTCTCTATAATAAAGGATTTATACTTAGTGTTAATCAGTACTGTTAAGTAAGGTTTTTGTGTCAATTAAGTGATATATAACAGGAAAAAGTGCTTTGTGAATTGAAAAATTATGAATACAGTTTTATATTATCTCTACCATAATTCTTTTATAATTTTTACTACTTGTAATTTTTTAACCCTTTAATTATATGGCTATATATGTAATATTACAACTACTTTATGAAATGTACTAGTCTTCTGTCTAAACTTCAGTACTTTTATGCTTTCTAAAATAAAAAATATTTTATCTCAGGTTGGGGATGTGGCTCAGTGGTAAAGTGCTTACCTAGCATGTGTGAGGCCCTGAGTCAATCCCCAGCACCACCACCAAAAAAAAAAAAAAAATTGTCATGGGAGGTCAAATGGAATTGGGTTTTACAGTTTGTGATCACTTTTAATTAGATATTTTTTAATTTGTTTTAATTATTTATACATGACAGTAGAATGCACTTTAATACATCATATATAATGGAGTATAATTTCTCATTCTTCTGGTTGTACATTGTGTAGAATCACACTAGTCATATAGTTATATATGTACATAGGGTAATGTTTAATTATATTTTTAAAAAACAATTTTTGTCAAACTGAGAAGATAGATCAGGGAGTTATAATTACAACTTCTAACTAATTGTACTCACACAATACTATTACCTTTATAAACTTCTAACTAATATCTCTCCAAATTCTTATTACCACAGGCATTTCATGATGTAAATCAGAGAAAAAATTTATTCTAGTGAATAAAATAATTATATGAGTATGTTCTGTCCTTTCAGAGTTACATTTAATGTTTTCATTGATGGACAAAGTTCCTAATGGGATAGAGCCAATGTTGAAAGATTTGGAAGAACATATCATTAGTGCTGGATTGGCAGATATGGTAGCAGCTGCTGAAACTATTACTACTGTAAGTTTTCTCCAGTGGCAATGATAGAAGTATATCAAGATTATTTTTTAATGCAGGATCAAGTATTTAAAATAATAATTGAAATGGCAAAATAGTAATATTGGAACACCTTTTATTTTTAAGAAAAAAATTTTCCTAGTTTTAAGACTATAGTCTTTTTTTTTTTTTTAAGAGAGAGTGAGGAGAGAGAGAGAGAGAGAGAATTTTTTAATATTTATTTTTTAGTTTTCGGCGGACACAACATCTTTGTTTGTATGTGGTGCTAAGGATCGAACCCGGGCCGCACGCATGCCAGGCGAGCGCGCTACCACTTAAGCCACATCCCCAGCCCAAGACTATAGTCTTATATTAAAATTATATTTTCTCATTTTTGTATAATTATTTTCCTTTTAAAACTCAATTTTAAAAAGAAGGCCAGAAAGTAGAAAGGAGACTTAAGGATTGGGAAAAACTAGAAAAATTGGGAATAGAAAGAAGTTGGGGAGAGAATAATTAGGATAACATAATTAGGATAGAGGGACATGAACAATGTACAATATATGCATGTACAAAAATGTCACAGTGAATCCATTATTAAACTCAATTAAATGTAAAACTTTTTTTTTCAGGACTCTGAGAAATATGTTGAACAGTTGCTTACGCTATTCAATAGATTTAGTAAACTTGTCAAAGAAGCTTTTCAGGATGATCCACGATTTCTTACTGCAAGAGATAAGGTATCCATTTCTGTATATTGACATTTTATATTAAAAGTGCTTTGTTTTGTTTTGCTTTTTGTTACCAGGGATTAAACCCAGGGATAATTAACCACTGAACCACATCCCAGACCCCTTTTTTAAAAACATTTTTTATTTTATTTAAGTTGCTCAGGACCTCACTAAGTTGTTAAGGCTGGCTTTGAACTTACGATCCTCAGCCTCCCGAGCTGAGGGATTATAGGCATGCACCACTGTGCCTAGCATAACTTCTTGTTAATAAGCATTAATTATCATGCTATTAAATCTCAAACTAAAAACCTAGCGACTCTATTTTTTTCTTTAGTGAACATAGTGTATTATATTTGGTTTGGTAATTTTTTGTAAGCATTGGATATCCTTCTGAACAAGAACTTAGCTTAAAAATTATTCTCTTCTTCATTTTTCCCAGGAATGTTGTCCTGTTTTTGAATATTGCTGATTATTGAATTCCTATTCATCTTTCCAAAGACTTAATTCAATGTATACTTCATCTGGAACTTCCTTGTTATACCCCACCTCTCTCCAGCGCATTACATGCAGAATTGATTCTTCCATTCTTTGTCCTCTTTTAAGACTCCTTCCAGAGTAATGTCACATTTGTCTTTGCTTCCCAGGGAAGAACTTGCATAATGAACCATCTTTTCCCATCTTCACTAGTGTGGGGCAAAGATAATGAAACATCATATTGTCCTGAGAACACTTTTTAAATGTCATAAACCTATCATGAAAAATTGCCATTAGTTTTGTCCCCTCTTCAACTACCTTTTATTACTTTCCAAATTTGACTTTTTTCCTGTGACTCTGAAAGGACAATCAGCTTTCTCTAGTTGACTTTTTTCCTCACTCTTTTTGTTTGTTTTAGATAATTAAGAACATAATTAGGGAAATAATTAATGGAATGTGAAAGTGATAAGGTGGTTTAAAGTCTTAAGTACTCTACAGAGGCTTTTGTGGTGAGCTTAAAATTGAGACTGAAAGGAATAAGTTTATGGGACGACCAAGGGGCGAGTGTTGCAGCCAGATTAAACAGCAGATGCAAGGGCTTTAAGCAGGAAAATAACCTGTCATAATCCAGGAAAAGCAGAAGTCGTCATTGTGGCCAGAGTAGATGGGAGTGAAGGCGAGAATGGTAGGAAATGAAGTCACACAGGATCCCAGATCTTGTAAGGAGTTTGGTTTTTACTGTGAGTAGGATGGGAAGTCATTGAAAGATTTTGAAGAGAATCGTAGGACCTGGCTTACATATTAACAGGACTACTGGGGAGATTTTTTAAAAAGTGAAGAAAGTCAAGAGAAGCAGCAAGAACATGAGATAATCAAATAAATGATGTTGGAGACTTACAGTGATGGAGAGGTGGTCAAAAGTGGTTAAAAAATTTTTTTTAATGCAAGTAATTTATTTGGAAAATTGAGGGAGCAGGTGAAAACAGAAGATGATAGAAGGAACTGTAGCCAACAAAATTTTTTCTTTTTTGTCATTTTTTGTCAAATTTTTTCTTTTTTGTCATATCTACAATGAGCTACTATAGCTTAATCCTGCAGGGAAACTTTGTGAAAGTTTTTAAAAACTTCAAATTACCCCACCCAGAAAGTGTTGATTCTCTGGCATTTTCTAACTTGCTATCTGCACATGCTGCACATATTTCCAGTTTTAGAAAAAATACCTTTAAGGTACAGATACAAATATGAACAGTGGAAAAAGTCTGGGAATGTCAAAGAGGATTGGCAAAATGTGTTTCACTAGCTGTGTGGCTTGGGACTTAATGATAAAAGGGACAATGGCCTCTAAAAGTGACTTCTCAGAGATGCTTTGGCTGACACCCATCCCCCAAACGCATGAACTCTGTCTTTAAATCATGTTCTTAGAGTGCTAATCTCTGTCCACACTGATGTTATGCCAGGCCATTGTCGTCTTCCTAACTAATTCTAACATCCTATTGAGTTCTCAAATTTAATGTCTCTTTTCTTCCATCCTCCTCCTTTTCTCCCTCCTTTCCTCCCTCCCCACCTTCCTTCCTCTCATTTTTTAGTTGTATATATTTAAGTTTAAACATGATATTGTGGACTACATATAGACAGTAAAAAGTTGCTGAGTGAAGTTCAGTTAACATCCACTGTGTCACATGTTTTGTTTTAATTTTTTAGTAGCAAAGGCAGCTAAAATGAATTCATTAGCATGAGTCCTATGTACAGTAATGTTATTAGTTGTAATCTTTATGTTGTACATTGTTAAGTCTCTAAACTTGTTTATCCTGTATATCTACTGCTTTGTATTCTCTAACCTGCATTTCCCCATTTCCTCTCTGCTCTACTCCCCATTCCCATCTCTGATAACCATTGTTTGTTCTGTACCTTTGTATTTTTTAATTTACTTTTATTCTACATATACGTGAGATCATGCAAGATTTTTTTCTCTGGCTTATTTTACTTAGCATATATTTTCCAGGTTTGTTCATATTGTGGCAAATGACAAGATGTCACTCTTTTTAGGGCTGAATAATATTCCATTTTATATATGTACTATAGTTTCTTTATCCATTTATCTGTCAGTGGACACTTAGGTTGGTTGTTTTTATCTCTTGGCAATTGTGAATAATGCTACAAATAACAAAGGAGTGCAGATATCTTTATAAAGTGGTGATGTAAAAAAATAAATTAATAAAGTAGTGATTTTATTTCCTTTGAGTATATTCCCAGAGAAAGGTTCACTGGGATTAAGATCATATTATGATAAAAGACTCTACAGGACTTGCTAATGAATTAAATGTGTAAGGTGATAGAGACCATTGAAGCATGGCATTCAGATTCATTAATCTGAATATTTAAAATAACATAATATGATGGGTAAGACTTTCGGAGAAATAAGTTTTGGGGATATAGTTGCAGAGAAATCAGACAGTCAGTTTTGAACAAATTAACTTTGAAATGTCTGTTAAGCATCCATGTGGAAATTTTGACTTTAAGGGATAGAGCAGAATTGGAAAAATAATTTTTTGCAGCTCCAATATGTAGGCGATTTTTAAATCATTAATACTGCCTACAGTCACCAAAGTAATGAGTGAAGATTGAAAAGAGAATATGGCATTCTGATATTTAGTTGTTAGAAAAATGAGGAACCATCATTTATGCAGGAGGAAGGAGAATGACCAGGAGAGTGTAGTGTGCTTGAAAACGGAGGAAAAAAAGTGTAACATGCTATTTTAAAACGCTACTGATAGGTAGAATTAATGGAAATTGTTAATTATTGTCTTTATCAACATTGAGGTTGTGAGTGACTTTTACAAGAGTAGTTGGGTGGACTGTTAGTCTGAAAGCCTGATAAGAATGTTTTCAATAAGAATGCAGAAAAGAAAGCCTCGTGTGGTGGCATATACTTGTAATCCCAGCAGCTCAGCTTCTGAGGCAGGAGGATCACAAGTTCAGAGTCAGCCACAGCAACTTAGAGAGGTCCTAAATTCTCAGGAACTTAGACCCTGTCTCAAAAAAAAAAAAAAAAAACAGGGCTGGGATATGGGCTCAGTGTTAAAGCACCTATGGGTTCAATCCCTGGTACAAAAAGCCAGAAAGAAATTAGAGATGGTAATTTAATAATTCTATAGGAGTTGAGCATAACAATATGCAATATGCTAAGACTAGAGGAACAATGGAAAGGGAAAAATTAACGAGTAAAAGAAGGAAATTCTGATTAAGTTTTATCAGTAAAATAGAAAGCTACATTATTTGTTGAGAGCGTTCATGAAGAAGAAACCATTGGAGGTTTGAAGAGAAAGGAAATGGTACAAAACTGTCTAGAAGGATGAGAGAAAACAGTGAATTATTTGTCAAGCAGCTTTAATACCTCACTTGAGAATATTCATAGTTATAGCATGCCAGAGTGCATTTCAGTTTTGAACAAAGTCTATGAAAACATATTCTCTGAGACCAGACATACCATTAAATGTAAAAACTGGGCTGGGGCGGGGGTGTAGTTCAGAGGTAGAGTGCTTGCTTTGCATGGGAGAGGCCCTGGGTTCAATCCCAACTACCACAAAAAAAGCCGAATTAAAATAACAAAAAAATGGGCTGAGGATGTAGATCTCTGAGTCCTTCTATTCTTTCCTCAGCACCACAACAAAAAAAATGACAGAAACCACCTGACTTGTATTTTTATGTTTTTAATAGTGTATTGATTTATCTGTTTACTCAGATCTTCAAAATAATGCTCATATTCCATTTCAAATTATTTTTTGCAGGCGTATAAAGCAGTTGTAAATGATGCTACTATATTTAAACTTGAATTACCTTTGAAGCAAAAAGGGTAAGCCTTTAAAAACCATATTTAAAAATATTTAAATTGCTTGGACTGAATTACTTGTTACTAGGTCAGCAGAGTACTCTACTTCCCTATTAGGTTTGTTTTTATTGTTGTTTCTCTTAGGGTTCTTGTTGTCCTTGGTTATTAAAAGTCTTCAATTTATATTTTTTTTATTCTTCTTTTATGACAAAATATATTGACTTTATCTTTTGAAGTAGAAAATGTTGTTCCTAATCTTTTAGAATCTCTACTTGATTATTTTCCCTTTGTTAGTCACTAAAGCTATTCTATTACATGGAAAGTCCAGAAAATGAGGATTCACTATAATGATATAAAAAGGGAAATCAAGCCAGGCATGATGGTACATGACTATAATCCCAGCAACTCAGGAGGCTGAAGCCGGTGAATTGCCAGTTCAAAGCTAAGACTGGCTTAGCAACATTAAGCAACTTAGTAAGACCCTGTCTGAAAATAAAAGGGTTGGGGATATGGCTCAGTGGTTAAGCGCCCCTGGATTCAATCCCTGGTACCAAATAAAATAAATAAATAAAAATTAAAAGGGAAGTCATTTTTTAATTTATTTTAATTTACTATATATGACAGCAGAATGCATTATGATTAATAGTACATATATAGAACATATTTTTTCATATCTCTGGTTGTATACAGAGTATATTCACACCATTCGAGTCTTTATATGAGGGTAATGGTGTCCAAGTCATTCTACCGTCTTTCCTACCCCCATGCTTCCTCCCTTCCTCTCCCACCCAGAAAATCATTTTACTGTAGGTTGTATTATCATTTTTAAAATTTGATCTCTTTGATAGAGCACTTGCCTGGTATGCATGAGGCTCTGTCTGGATTTGATCCCCACTAAGTTGCAATAAAGGTTAAAAATTTTTGATATACTTTCTAGTTGCTAATTACTATTTTAAAGAAAATGTATATATAATGCCAAAATATTTGAAAAGTACCATTTTTTATTTTTATTTTTTATTTTAGTTGTAGACGGACACAATATCTTTATTTTATTTATTTTTATGTAGTGCTGAGGATTGAACCCAGTGCCTTACATGCTAGGCAAGCACTCTACCACTGAGCCACAACTACAGCCCTGAAAAATAACATTTTTTTTAAGGAAAAGTAATTGGAGTTTTTTATTTTAATCTTTTCATGTTTTCCTTTTTTGATCTACATAGGTTGAATAGTATTACAGTAGAAGACATCTGAGCCAGGTTCAGTGGTACACACCTGTAATCACAACAATCTGAAAGGCTGAGAGGCAGGAGGATCATGTTTGAGGGCAGCCTCAGCAACTTAGTAAGGCCCTGTCTCAAAAGATAGAAAAAGGGCTGGTGATATGACTCCATGATAAAGTGCCCCTGGGTTCAATCCTCAGTACCAAAACAAACCAAAAAACAACCGAAGACATCTGAGTCATTTGTTCTGTGATAGTAATTGGTATGGTTGAAGGGCATAGGTCACATTCTCTTTTAGCAATTATGAAATATATGAAACATTATACTACATCTTTGTGATAACTATGTGTGACTATATAGATTTTCCTTACTCTCCGATACTCAAGTGTTTTTTGGTGAAAGATTCAAACTCGGAGTAAAGTTACTATAATTGCTTTACCAAATATATATCTCCCTACATACATCCATCAGTCAACTTCATACATTGATAATCTTACTCCTTGAACACATTAGCATGAACTCATTAATTAAATTTGATATTTGTTTTGAGGTAAAATTTACATAGACATTTGCATACATCTTAAGTGTATAATTGGGCCAAATTTAACAAATGCATACTCCTATTAAGATATACAGTATCTCCATCATCTTAGATCATTACCTCATATCTATTCCCTGTAAGTTTCACTCTACTTCCTCTCAGAGGCAGCTGTTGGTCTAATTATTTCAGTATAGATAGGTTTTGTCTGATATAAGACTTCATATAAATGAAATCATACAATATGTGCTTTTTGTATATAAAACTTCTTTCATTCAGCATTGTCTACGAGATTTTTCCATTTTTTAATGTAACAGTTTGTTTTCCAAAGAGATGGTACTGTTTTACACTTTCACCAACAAAGTGTGAAAGTGCCATTTGATCCTCATTCTCATCAGTGTTTTGGTAATGTCATTTTAATCTTAGTCATTCCAGATGTATGTAGTTGTATCTCATTATAGATTTTTTTTTTTACATTTTTAAAATTTTGGTTTTAGTTGTAGTTGGACACAATATTTATTTTCATGTGGTGCTGAGGATCCAACCCAGTGCCTTACACATGTGAGGTAGGTGCTCGACCAATGAGCTACAGCCCCAGCCCTCATTATAGTTTTGATACCCCTCTCCCTCATGTTACTGATGTTAAGCAATTTTTTTTGTGTGTGTGTGTGTTTTTTTTTTTTTTTTTTTTCTTGTTGCTTTCTGTATCTTGGAAATCTTTTTCTGCTTCAACCCTAGGACATGAAGATGTTCTTTGTTTTCTTCTAGGAACTTTATAATTTAGCTTTTACAGTTACATCTAAGATCTATCTTAAATTAATGGTTGTGTATGTTTAAGTTAGAGATTAACTTTCTTTTGTTTACTTTTTGTTTACCATATGGTTAGTAAGTGGCTTCAGAACCATTTATTGAAAAGACTTTCCATTCCCCAATACATTACCTTTCCATAAAAACCTTAGGTGACTTTAAAATGGTCATCCATTTCTGGGCTTTCTGTTCAGTTCCAGTGATTTATTTGGGTTCTTTAGGCTATTATCACATAATCATGATTGGTATAGTTCTGTAGTAAATCTTGAATCTAGGTGGTATAAATTTTTTCTCCCCCCACCCCAATTCATTCCCAATTCATGAAGGATTTGCCTTTCTTTCTGGTCTTTGTAGCATTTATGGTTTACTTTTTAATAATATTTGTAATATCTGGTATCATTATGTTGGCCTCATAAGGATTGGAAGTTACTCTCTCCTGTATGTTCCGAAAGAGTTAGTGTAATTGGTATTACTTCTCCTTAAATGTCTGGTAGAATTCGTAAGTAAAACCATTTGGGCCTGAAGTTTTCTAATGGCAAGTTTTTTTTACTATGAGTTCAATTTCTTTAGTAGATAAAAGGTCTTCATATTTTGTAGTTAATCTAGTTATTTGGTTAAGTTAGATTTTCAGGGAATTTACTCATTTCTTCCTAGTTGTCAAATGTGTATATATGCATAAAGTCATAACTACTGTGCCCTTATTATCTGTTTCTCATAGCAAATACTGAAAATACTGTTTCTAGAATCATTTGAGAGTAAATTGTTTATCATTCAATATATTAGTGTAAACATAATCACAAGACAACTTCCAGAATCAGGAAATTATGATACATACTGCAGTGTAATCGTCAGACCCATTTAAATTTCATGAATTGACCATATATGTTTTTCCAGCAAAGATATTCAATACAGAATTGTGTGTTGTTTTTATGTTGTCATATTTCTTTGATCTTTCTTGGTCAGAAACCAGCTCTTTCTTTGACTCTTGTAACCTTGTCCTTTTGAAGAATACAGGCCAGTTTTTTATAGTGTTCCTTAGGTCGTGTTAATCTGATGGTTCCTATAAATGAGATTCAGGTTTGCATCTTTGGCAGAAGTAAAATTTTGTGCCAGGCATGGTAGTGCATCTCTGTAATCCCAGAGACTCAGAAGGCCAAAGCAAGAGAATCTCAAGTTTGAGCCCAGCCTCAGCAACTTACAAGGCCCTAAGCAACTTAGTGAGACCCTGTTTCAAAGTTTAAAAAGCTGGGGATGTGGGGATGTGACTCAGTGGTAAAGCACCCCTGGGTTAAATCTCTAATACCAAAAAAAAAAAAAAGAAAAGAAAAGAAAAAGTGAAACTTTGTTCTTATCTGAAGGAACATGATTTGTTTTACTCTACTACTAGACTTTACTTTGGTCATTTCATTAAGTTGATATGTACTGCATCTCCCTGCTGCAAAGGTACTCCTTTTTCTCTTTATATTTTTGGGTAGTACTTTAAAACTATGTAAAGATTCCATTCCTTAGAGGTACTATGGATTAGATAGAGGGGACTGAAGGGCAGGGAGGAGCAATGGATATAGGAATGATGGTAGCATTAATGAATTGGACATTATTACCCTATGTGCATATATGATTACACAACCTGTATAACTCTACATCATAAACAACCAGAAGAATGAGAAGTTATACTCCATTTATGTATGATGTGTCAAAATACATTCTCCTGTCATATATGACTAACTAGAACAAATAAAAAAAAATATACAAACCAAAATAAAAGAATCCATTCCTCATCAGATTTTTCATTTGTACAGTGATTTATCATATCAGTAGGGACTTATTTCCTATTTTGTTTGGTGGATTACAATTGATGGCCCTATATTTGGATTTTCAAATTATCCTAGATTTCTGTTGACTGACTGCCTTTCTTATATATACATAACATTTCTATGTATCTTTGGTAGTGTTGGATTTTATCCTGAATGTGTAATGATATGTTGCACAGAATGGTTCCTATTAGTTTGTTTGAACTGTCCTGATTGTTCAGCCAGAAAGTGAAGATTTCAATCTGAATTTTAGCTTCCCTGCAGGTGGCATTGATAGGATTGCCTCTAAGCAAAATTGTCTACTTTTTGGAAATTTAACCAGTACCATTACTTTCTTTAAAGTGTAACTTTATTTAGAGATTTACCTATAGTGGATCACTATTCACTGTCTTCATGGCAGTTGTTTATTGGGGGAAAAAATCTCCAGAGTTTATAATTGCTTTCTGGAGGAAGATTGGTATAATGCAAGTTTTCTGCTCATTCTCAAGTTGAACTTTTTCCTTATTCTTTTTAAAAATTTATTGAAGCAACTTTAAACAAGTTAAAAATAGACATTTTAAGTTTTAAACTGAACAATTTTGTGGCATTTAGTACAATCACAATATTGTACAAGCATTATCTCTATTTAGTTCCAAAATATTTCTAACA